GGAATACGTACGCCCATTGTACGCTCCAAATGACCATTTCCCACGTTAAGCACTCAATGCTTAAGACCAAAACGTCCAAACTTAGATCTAACCTCCATGGGATGTATTAAGTAATAAAGTTCCTGACTTTATGACTTTGCATGGCTTAGTGAGATCCAAACTAACATCCAAGCTTCATAACTTCATAAAAAGGTCACTAATTCTTGAATGAAGGGACAATAGTCCTCAAGATCTAAACTTTATGACTTAATGACCTCAACAAAGACCAAATATGAGGATCAGAGGTTCTGGAGTAACTTCTACTCACAAGAACCATAATCATAGGACCAAAACATGATAAATTAGCACCCAAACTAGATCTTAAAGAGAAAGTCACCAAGATTAAAGTTTTATACCTCCATAACCTAGATCAAGAAGAATAACGCCTAGATCTACAAGCTCCAAGACAACCAACACTTCTCTAAGGTGTTCTTCTTCTTCTAAAGGCACCAAAAATCCATAAAGATCACTCCAATGCTCAAAATCTTTCCAAATGAGGGCTGGGGTTTCGAATTTCGGGTTAAGGGTGATGGAGGCTAAAGATAAGAGGGTTTGATAATGATTTAAGGCCTTTAAATAGGGTCCAAGACCCTAAATTAAGTTTTGGGACTGAGTCGCAAACGCCCAACGTACATCTGGTATGCCCAGTGTTCGCGATGGAACTTTCACCATCACTCTAGCCATGTATGCCTAGCGTACACGACGTGCTCCCTACCGATTAATCTTCTGGTGTCTGTAACCTTTTCGTTCCAACTCGGATTCCGAAAATCCTTATATCCACAGAATGGTAATGAGAAGCTCTACAAGCCTATCCAATCTCATTTGCCTCAAAACTTTCCCAAACTTGAATCCACAATTCATAAAAGGCCCAAACTATCACTTTACTGTTATACCCTTGGGCTCCAAAACATAAACCGAACTCTCGGATTATCTGATATGCATTATCCACATCCAAAGGGGTCTAAATCTCTCTTTCCCCTAGGCCCAAAGCCTCATGATAACTGATCTTCGGCTCATACCCCCGAATTATGAAATGATTCGAAACATGGTTTTGCAACATCGCCAGAGCTCTACCAGTGTCGATGTCGTTGTCTACATATATGTTTTGTTTTTGTTTTTTTCTTTTTATATTTTATCCTTTGTGATTTTCCAAGTTTAATCGTCTCCTGCCTATCAAACTACGGAGAGATGTTAGTGATTTGAGTTTAGGTTCAAACCACTTAACTTTTAGTGATTTTCTATATACTCCTATGTAATTGTCTTTTGAGTAATTAAGCAAATCATTATCTTATATAATGGCATCTAGAATTCCAATCTCTATATATTATTAAAAGAGAAGCCTTAATTCACCAATGAAGCAATTAGGACCCTTCATTGCATTTCAATCTTATGTTTTCCACCATTAGATTAGATTGCTGACATCATCTTCTTTAAATAAAATTCAACCATAATTACATTTAATTATAGAATCTATAATAATTATAGAATTTTTAAATTCAATAATTACATTATCAATTACAGCATATCTTTCTATTTATATACGAGATATCAGTTTCTCTAATTAATATTGTTCCTAATTTAACTCTCTTATTTATAGCTTCTGGCTTCAAAATTCAAAGCCGTTTAGTTTTTATGTAAATATTTTTATTTTATTTTTTTGAAAAAACTCATTAAATAAACATATCAATAATTTGATCATTAACCTATAAAATCTAATCTAATCCTATTAAATTAGCAAAATATTTAAGAGTAAAAAATAAAGTCAATATTATTTATAATTTATCTCTCGGTATATCTCACGTAAAATAAATCAATTTGAGATAATGGTTTTGAATTTAAAATTCATTAATTAAGCAAGTCAATTAATTTGAAATTTTGATTCAATATAAATGATATCATTTTTTTCCAGATGAATAACCGAAAATCTCCAAGATAATATTTTAAGATCCCATTTTTTTGAAATATAATGATTTCCTTATTGAAAAACAACCTATATATACGATTACATTGAAGTTGTTTTTCTTACGATTTTGGATTGAGTCCTATGAATTACAGTATTCTTCTTCAACGGTCTTATTCTATAATTCTTTTTTCTAGATTCTTTATTTACCCTGTTCTCCTTCTTCTTCTATAATTTCTTGTATTTATTTTGTTCTTATTACTTGTTATTATTATATTTTTGTTGAGAGGTCATGAAAAAAATTAATCACTCTACTTTAAGTATATTAATTTCATTCATTTAGTTATAGAAACAAAATTATATCCTTTATATTAATTTTTTTACTATGTTGACCTATGTGTGTTAAGAGAAAGTCATAAAAGTCGTTTTAACGTATGATGGCAAAACTAGTGGAACGGAACAAAAGCAAGATGAAGAAGTTTTATTTTGTTACACTTCAACTTCCATGAACAAATACATATATCTTGTTCTAAGTTTTTCAATAATTCTTTTATACATATTATTATACTATTTAGTTAACTTTTCTAATTTTATATTACTGTATTTTTGTATATCGATAGCTTTAGTTTCAAAATCGACATTCAAGTACAAGACTTTACTGGTGTGGTGTCACTTATATTATTTGATCCTGACACAAAGAAACTTCTGGAAAAAACCGCACAAGAGCTTATTTAGTTTCACAATGTATTTTTTTACTAGCTTTAAATTAACAATTACTTCTTTCACTTGCTTAAGATTATTGATTACTCATATAGGTTTGTAATAAAATAAAATTTTGATAAATTGAAAAAATTGTTCAACAAAACCTAATCGGTTATATATCAATTTAGGCTTCTTTTTGTGTTGTCATGTTTGTTGATTTTTCTATGCATGATTCATTTGAAGTTCTTTTTCTCGACAAGAACGTTAATGTTCACATTCAAGTAGAAACAATCACAATTGGTAAGTATTCCAAATGATTTTTCACTTACATTAATCAAAATTGTTACTTTAAATGGTGCGTTCTCATATGAGTCACAATGGTTGTCACTATATAGATCTTCTAGCGGTCTATAGAAGAATCCTAGCGGCTCTATGAATAATTTTGTTGCGTTTTCAATGAAGGATCACTCTATCAACATTCGTTCTCTAAAGTTCTTTCTCTTATTTTTGATATACATGTGTGCCATAACAATAAGCCAGAAAGAGGTGTTAGTAACCATTAAAGATAAAAAGGTAAGATATAATTTAAGAATATTATATAAAGAATAAATTGTAGATTTGTGATATTTATTTCTATGAAAAATATGTTATTTGATTGCTAGGTTATATATCTGGGTTTTTTAGTAATTTGATTTTGATAAGTTTGATCTAAATTTAATAATTGAAGCAGGTAGGAAAGATATGTGCTAACGATATTGAATTTGTATTGCCCTCCAGAAACCAGTTGTAGTTTCATAATCCGTTCCTTCATATCTTTGTAAGTCTTAGCATTTCTCTAAATTTGGCTACAAGAATTCATAGATGCACTTGTTGAATCAATCATCTAAACTAAATTTCATTTGTTAGTTGGATGCAGTGACCAAAATACAAAATTTGTGAAAATTCATTATTATTTATTAGTGTTAACCTTTTGCAAAATATGAAACTAATATTATATTTTTGTTCATAATATGTTTTTTTTCTTGTAATAATTTCTTTGATCAAAAGATATGTATATGTGATTGGGTGTAGCCTAAAAAATCATATTTTAATTCTTATAAGGAAAAAAAATACATTATAAATTTATCAAATTAAAATATATGAATTTGATGTTTATGGTTATGACAGTGCACTTAAACTGTAATGTTTATCCAATTTCTCTGTAGAATTTAATGTTGCTAATACATATAACAACTTATTGTTGCTTTTGGTTTTACAGTGCCAATATGAAAAGAGTCATGTGAGCCTCTATAGAGGTTGTTATACCGAACAAAATCAATTTATAAACCTACTACACAACATGCTTTAATCAAGATGTCGCATCATGTTGTGATAAAACAAAGATCATGTGGATCATTTATGCAAAAAATTACTATATTAAAAAACCAAATTATTCTAATATAAATATTAAATATTTTTATTTAATAAGTTTGGTTCAAAAAATCTAAAAATGAATTTAAGTAACATTTTTTATTAAAATTTCACATAAAACAATATCACCTATTAATATAATATGTATTTAATTTATGTTTCTCGCGTTTAACGCAGATCATAATCTTGTTACTTATGAATACACGAACCAAACAACCCTTATATTTATTTTGATAATCAATTTGAGTGAAATACCATATATGCAAGTCACCTCTTTGGTAGCCGCATTTCTTGTAATTAGGGCGTTTGTAATTCTAGTAACGTGAAACTTTTTATAAATTTAAGGCGATAAACAAGCTAAATCAGACAGAAATATTTGGTCAAATAGTAAAGATAATCTACCGGATTCTTGAAAGTAATTTTGAATGAAAACATAGTAATGTTATTAAAAAAAATCATAAAATAAGATGGAATAGATCCGACTCACTTTTCACATAAAACAAACATTAGAGTCATTATATGAAGGGATTCGAACAAAACCATCAATTTGAAATACACCATCCTGGTCCAGACTTTATGCCCCATGTAAAAACTTCTCACACTCTCGCAGCATACATCTAACTTCAGATAAATGACCAATAATTAAACCAGCAAACATACGCCAAGTTAACAATAAAAACTAAATAAATGTTTCTATATTACCCTTAGACAAAAGATATGTTAGTTGTTTATTTTAACAGGTTTTGCTATTAGCAATAAAATATACTTCATAAAATACGAGGGTTATCCGAAGCACAACCACATAACTGCATGCGTTGGCATGTGCTTGCGGAAAGTCCGAGGTCCAAAATCAACCATCCCTGATTTATAACAAGCAGGCTTCCTCATAAGCTGGTTATCATTTGTAGCATAAATGATACCAGAAATTGGATATAAGATTTTTCCCACGATGAACACCTTGTTGTTATGGTGGTGGGAAGTCGACAGTGAGCTAGACAAGCTCGCCTGCACAGTTCTCACCATTTCAGTTCCGACACTACTACTTCTATGGTACAAATGGATATCATATTCCATAAAGAACATTCCACCCTTCCCACCCGGTCCCTATGGCTTACCAGTTATAGGGTATCTCCCGTTTCTTGGCTCCAATTTGCATGAAAGATTCACTACAAGAAACAATGTCTATACAGACGACATTTTCAACTCCTTTGCCGACGACATGTCGTCAGAAAAACCTATAGCGGCGACATGTCATCCGTACAAATCGTCGGAATAGCTCCGTCGGTAAAAGTGAAAAATATTGTCGGTACAAAGTAGACGGCGACTTGTCGTCTACAAAGCGTTATTGGTAGTGATTTTCGAAGAAAAAAAATAAAGTTTTATTATATACCTATTCTGACGACAAGTCGTCGGTATGGGTGACCGGGAAAATATCATTCGGTGATGGCTAGTGGACACCAGAAAAACACCATATGAAAAAAAAAAAAAAAAAAAATAGAAATCAAATCTGCTACCTGTTATGTGGGTTGGGGTGGCTGGAAGGAGAAGGTGGATCGTCATAGGTGGTCCTCTGATGACTACTTCACCGGAAAATAACTAAATCAATCAAATCAATGAATAAAAAAACTTTGAAAACAAAAAAATTATAAAGCTTACCGGTTTTGTGAAGCCCAAGAGGGGAAGGACCAGAAGCGTGATTCTTCGTTGGGAGGTGGAGGAACAAAGGAAACAGTGTCTACTGAGTTTTATTGGGCTACAACCCTATACCGACGACATGTCGTCGGCATAGAGCATTCACACGGATCACCATTTTTTTATCCCAATGACATGTCGTCGGCATAGAGTCGTCACACGGATCGCCAAAATGTTTTTCTTTTCCACTACACCTGTAGAAATGACATGTCGTCGGGATAGCTCTCCACCAAACAACATCGTTAGTGATTCTTGCATCAAGGAAAATAAATAAATCAAAATCCAAAAATACGTACCCTATACCGACGACAAATCATCGGGGATAGGTTTTCAGTATACTGCCAAAAATGTTTTTCGTTTCCGCTGCACCTATCGAGACGACAAGTCGTCATAATAGAGTCTTAGGTCAATGCTATTTGGTCAAAGTAAACAGAACACTATACCAACGAGATGTCGTCAGCACAGCGAATTTTTTACCGACGACGGGTATCGTCGGAATAGATGTCGTCGGAATAGAGGCTTATTCTTGTAGTGAGTCACAGAGATGACTCACCGATATGGCCCCATCTTCAGTCTCCGGCTTGGAAGAAAGCTTCATGTTGTGGTAAACTCCTTGGACCTAGTTAAGGTCGTGACTCGTGACCTAGACCTGACCATGGCTAACCGAAGTCCTCCATTAGCAGCGCTAACCATCAGTTACGGTGGCAATGGTATTGTATGGTCCAACAGCAACACACACTGGCGTAACATGCGCAATATTTTAGCAATCCAACTTCTGAGCATTACAAATTTCAAAGATTGTCAGGGTTTCCGAACATATGAAGTGAGAAGGCTCGTGAAAGAAGTTTACAGTAAGCTCGGGACAAAGCTCAATATTAATGAAATTGCTTCCAAGACTGAGGTAGACGTTGTGACAAGCATTTTATGGGGTTGTAGCAAATCTTAATTTCAAGATTCTGAAGCTATTGGGAGCCCCAAACATATCTGATTTTCTCCCAGTGCTATCTCGGTTTGATCTCCAAGGAAGGCAGCGAGAAATGCAGAGGCAACTTGAATATGTCGATCGGATATTTGAAAGCATTATACAAGGAAGAATGGAAGCCAACTCCAGAATAAATGAGGGAGAAGGTGAGGAAGATCGAAGGAAGGATTTTTTGCAGATATTGTTGGAGCTTATGGAGCAGAAAGATGCTACAATATCACTGGACATCATTAAAATAAAGGCCCTACTAATGGTAAGTCTCTCTTTATATGTTTTGGTTCTTTCTTTAACTGCAAACTGCACTAATCCACATGACAAACTAATAAAGGGAAACTGTATAAAAATAGGATATAGTGCTTGCGGCTACAGATACAACATCGACAATGGTAGAATGGGTGATGTCAGAGGTTTTGAATAATCCATGTGTAATGAGAACGGTCCAGGATGAATTAACGGATGTAATTGGCATGAACGTTGTCGAAGAATCTCATCTGCCCAAATTAACATATTTGGATGCAGTCATCAACGAGACATTAGGGTACACACTCCGGTTCCTCTCTTAGTCCACCGATGCCAGATGAATCATGCACTGTTTGTGGATACACCATTCCAAAGGGTACTATCGTCTATATGAATGTTTGGGCACTCCATCGGGATCCGAAGATCTGGACCAATCCATTGGAGTTCAAGCCCGAGAGATTCTTGATCGACAAATGGGATTACAATGGAAATAATTTCAAGTTTTTGCCATTTGGATCAGGGAGAAGAATATGCCCAGGAATCCCCCTTGGGGAGAAGATGTTGATGTATATATTAGCATCGCTGTTACACTCGTTTGATTGGAGGTTGCCAGAAGATGAAGAGTTTGAGCTTTTAGACGAATTTGGAATTGTGACAAAGAAAAGGAAATCACTAATAGCTATACCCTCTCGAAGACTATCTGATGCAAGCCTCTACTTTTGATAGAGGATTATCGCTCAATAGTGAAACGGTACTACTGTTTGTATAAAAAGAAGGTAACGTTTTGTTACTTGTTAGGAGTGTCAGAAAGGCGAAATCCGTTACCTTCTTATCTGCTCATTGCTTGTAACTATGTGTGGTAATAATATTTCTGGGAATTTTGTGTTTTCATCTGTATCATTTTTTGTTCATTAGATGACAAATCAACATTGGATAGAATGTTATGGAAACCAAATATTCTTCTCTCTTGTACTTTTTGTCATATATATGTAGAATTAAATCGATCCCTTCCAAAATAGTGGGATCAATCTTTGCAATCTTATTGGGGTCATCTTTTGTAACCCATTGTATTTACTTTTGTATAAATACAAAGAAAAAAAAAAACAAAAACAAATTTTGAATTGTATCATAGAGGAACCGAGAGAACCCTTTTAGAGACCACCCTAATGAACTCATAATAATTAATATTATTAATATATATTGTAATTAATACAAATAGTAATCTTTTATTTGTGAATTCCTACGTTTATGTTGTTTGCTCGTCACTTTTACAGACCCTTCAATTTATCACACAACAAGAAATAAGTCATTTAGGGACGACAGCTTTAGGACGACAGCTTTAGCGGCAACATTAAAGGGCATTCTCTGTCGCTAAAGATGTCGTCGCTAAAGGACTTCCACCGTCGATCCTCCCCTGCCACACGCCATTTAATCAGGACCGTAGGTTGCTAAAGTAATCCATCGGTTACGGATTCATCTGGTAGGAAGCAATAGCAGCGACGCCAATTGCAACGACATGTCGCCGCTATTGATAGCGATCCGCGTGAATGTCATCGTGACCCTTCGATTGTTTTTAGATCGGAAGACTACTAGGCACCAGAGAATGGCGCGTGTTTTTCCCTCCAACTCTTCGCCGCAATTGCTAAAGACGTCGCTGCTATAGGGGCCGACCTTTTGGCTACCCCTTCGTCCTAGATGACTCAGTTTTATGTCTACCACTTCTCTTGCAAATTCCGGCGATATCGTGTTCTGGTGCGTTTTTCCTTTCATTTTCCGACAATTTCTAGAAAATTACGGTGAATTCTGAGTTCTCTGATGAGATTAAAACTTCGGTGCGTTTTGCTCTTCTCTTTTATCTTTCTCTTGTTTCCTGACCTTAATTTCATTTTTTTTTTTTTTTTTTGTGATTTTAAGTGAACTTCAGCGAATTCTGAGTTCTTCGAGCAACCAACACAAGTACTTATTAATTCATAAAGAATTCGGTAGTTTTGTTATATTGTTAAGAACTTAATGTGTTTACATTAATTTTTTGTAGCTCAGTAGTTTATTAAACTGTTAAAGACTTAATTTATTTGGTTCTTTGATGGTTTGATAGTTTGTTGAATTGTTAATGACTTAATATGCTTGTTACTTAATTGTAGGATGTTGATGCGAATGCTTTTCTTCAAAACCTGGCATTTGTGACGGTCATTTGAAACATAATTCGCTCGTTTAAAAACCAAGTCAACAATGAGGAAACAACGATGGGGAGGATGATGGTGAAGACGAAGACACATAATATTTCTTGTTTTATTATATGGAGGATGTTATTTTGGATTTTTTAGATAGTTTATGGATGATATATTAGATGTTAATTTGTTTAAGATTTATTAGATATTTTATGGAATATGGTATGTTTGATGTTTTTATATAATGTGGTATGTATTTATATATGTATTTTTATCAAAACTGCATTTTATAATATATATAAACTAATGTTATAAAAAATATGTTTTTTCTCAAAAGAAAATTTAAAAATTAAAATTAAGGATGACTAAGACCAATTGCGACGACCTATACGGCTGGGGAGGTTTGCCGGAAAAACTCTGGCAGCTTGCCGGAATATTAATAGAGACGACGTTATTTACGACGACATTCATGTATTACGGACGACATGTATTAGAGACGACCGTATTTGCGACGACAACCAGCTATTAGCTACGAAGCAATTTAGGTGATCTTTAGCGACGACAATCAAAATCAATTGCGATGATTTTCGTCGCCGCTAAAGGTTAGCTTTTTTGTTGATCATCTTTATTGTTCAATCTAACGAAACCAAAGGAATCATTTCGTTCCGCTGTATTCTATATGGAAATAACTTTTATTTTTAATTTGGAATGTTATCAATACCGCCATTGCCTCTCTCATCCATGCTAATAATATTTTCCAAAATTGATTATTAATTTCATATTTAATAACATAAATCAATTTCACTTTTTTTAACGAACTCGTATATTATATAGGTTTCATAACTAAAAATAAATTATTCATCTTTTACCAACTTTCATATTTAACTTTTTTTTAAACAACATATTTAATACATGGGTCTCACACCAGTAAAATAAGATAAAATAAATATACAATGTACCAAAAATTTTCAAAATTAGAAGTGGGTTTTTGATAGTTATATCATTATTAGGGTCTTGTTTTTTGGTAACAAGTTTTTTGGTATTTGTTAGATGTTTGGTTAATACACTTTCTATAGCGGCAAATGTAGAACCAAAAACCATGTGGAAAAGAAAAATAAACGAGTAAAAAATACTAGTGGTGTCGGATCGGATGGTATGCCTTCAAAATATTTAGCATATCTTCAATAGTTATAACAATTAATATAGTTCTTACAATTAGAATCTATGAGGTCTTATATCTTGAAATATATGTATTGTTTTTAATAATTTCTAAAAATTATTTCACTGTACAACACTAAACTACAACATGAATGGACTGTACAACACTAAACTACAACATGAATGGACTATAGAGGAGAAGGTTGGTCTACCAGAGAGGCATAAGGTTGGCATGCTAAGGGTGACGGTGGTCGGACGTCGGACAATAGGAGTGACCAATGATCAAGTGACAACCTTTATGATGTGTTATGAGATGTCGACCAAGCTCCAGCTCCATAGGCGAAGTTCAAACCATTTTTTTTCCTTTTTTGTTTAATTGTAAATGGATTAGGCTTTTGCCTAATAATTAATTTTGTGGGAATTAAACCATTGGGCTATTCTAACTTGATTGGAATATATAAAATACGGGCTTTATACATTTTGCTTTTATTTTGTCAAAAGATGTCCTCTCTATATATATATATATATATATATATATATATATATATATATATATATATATATATATATATATATATATATATATATATATATATATATATATATATATATATATATATATATATATATATATATATATATATATATATATGGGTAAAGTGAATATACCTAACAACCTTATATAAGCTTAGGTACCTAACTCCATAATACAACATCGGTTTGTATCATATTTACATTGTAATTGCCTAAGGTTCCTAAACTTCAACCTCATAACTTGATTACTTCCAAAATCTTTGGATTTTCAACAATATATTTCTTTTACATCACGTCTTTTTATCGAATACCACCTAATGGGCTTCATATCCTACCGCTACAAATGAAAGGATGTAAGAGAAATATAATGATAAATTTTCAAGTTTTTTGAAGTAAATCAAGTTTAGGGATGAAATTTAAGAACCTTGGATGATTGCAATGAAAATTTAATGCAAAATGATGTAGTTTGATAAGGTTAGGTACCTAAGCTTATATAAGGTTGTTAGGTATATTCACTTTACCCTATATATATATATATATATATATATATATATATATATATATATATATATATATATATATATATATATAGACCTGACCCTATACATGGGCGAGTTGAACCAAGCCCAGGGCATCAAAAAAATTGAGGGCATAATTTACATCCGATATGTATTACTATATATGTTACGTTGGCCCAACAATCCAAGAATAAATCAACGAAATCTGGAGAAGCGTCCGCTAAATAGCTGAAGCTTGAAGTCTTGAGAATTGCAATCAATCAAATAGGTATTCGTTGATACGCTTGAAAACTGAAAATCCAGTGCTATGCAGATATCGAGGAGTCGATCGATCGAGTTCTTAATCAGCACATCAGTATTCAATCGACCATCTAAACGCTCTTTCAAGTTCTATTTTTTTTCAAGTTTCAATTTCTCATTCTAAATCAAATAAGTACCTGATTTCTATTCTCTCAATCTCTCTAAACCATTGTTCAAAGATTGATTGTTTTTACAAGTTTCACTCTCACAATCGCCAATCTAAGTTTTGACTTTCGAGTTCTGAGTAAGAGGACAGTCGATAACGAAATATGTTGCCATCTCCGAAAGAAAGAGGATAATGAATTTGGGCGAGTTCTTTTTGAATTTTTCTTTACTTCGATTTTTCTTATTTGTTTATGATTCTGATTTCTTTTTGGATTTATATCTTTACCTGTTGGATTCAAGTACAGTTAAGAGTTGAAGTCTCAAAAGATTTCTCTTCTATATGAGCTTCAATTTTTAAGTCAAAATCTGCTGCTGATTTGCATTTGGACTTTTAGAGGTAGAACCTATAAATTTGTTTCATTGTTGTTATAATACTTCTTCTTTTCTTATTTCTTATTTGCTTTTGTTTTTTGATTTTTTTTTTCACTTATTTGTGTGGATTTTTTTATCTAACGAGTTGGATTGGAGTATAGTCAAAAAGAGTTAAAATTCCAAAGATTCCTATTCTGTTTGAGCTTATTTCTTATGTACAAATCTGATGCTGCTTTGTATATGAGTTTTGTGGTTTATTGGTTTATCTTTATATGTGATTTTTGTGGTTTATTAGTTTGCTTTAGGTAAATTTTTACTATCTCTGATGACATAAAGACATTTAATTTGTCCTCTAAACAATCTACTGCCTTCTCCTTGTTTTTTTAAAATTTTCTTTTAAACTTTTGTGTTTTTGTTTTCTGATGTGAATAAGGAGACAAAGACATTTAATTATCTATTGAACTTTTCGATTCATTTTTTTTTTTTTTTTTACTATCTGGACCTTTAGAGAGAGAACATATGAACTTATTCATTGTTGTAGTATTGAACAAACGAAATATTTTTAATC